GGGCGTAAGGTGAGCCGTGTAGGAAGCCGGAATGGAGATACCGTGAACAGGATTGAGTAAGTGCGTTACGCCGTCAAGGCATTCTGGCGAAAGCTCGTTGTCGCCGAACGAGCCCAGCAGCTCTGAGATCAGAATGTCGATCGTAGTGGGAACGAGCTCGGTGACGGGGGCCGCGGCTGCTGATTCGGACGTCTGTGCCGATTCCTGCTCCTCGTTGGCATTGTAAAGTAACGAATCTTCGATCCCAAGGGATTGCCCTACCGGTCCTGTTTGTGCTCCCGAGTGACCCTGCTTCTCAACCTGCGGGCCTTTCCAGGCTCGCATGTCCGACTGCACAAGCTTGACTTGTCCACCCCATTTCTGCTCATTGTGGCGTTGGAGAAGGACGAAAGCATTGGTGTTCTTCTCAACTGCCCAGAGGTCAATCTTGACCCCAGTCTCGACACTGGCTTGGAGCGCCCGCGACACGAGCGGTCCTCGGCCCGCACCAACCACGGCCACAACCACTCTGCCGTCGGGGTTCGAAGTTGGCTTCCTTTCACTTGCCCAGTCGGTAAGAGCTTTGGCGACCGCGCGCTCATACCATTTGTATTTAATAGGGTCTTTCTCGAATACCTCGTAAGTAATGCTTTCCAGGTTGACAGTCAACGGCTGCAAAGGCGCCTGAAGATAGTCTTGGTATCCAACTCCAAACCTCTCCATGGCGCTCCTAGAAGGCTGGCGTTGCTGTAGATTTCTGAGGTAGGAAAGATGAGGGGTCGGATCATAATGCTTCTTGTTGGATACCGCGGCCTGAGTGAGACTAGGATAATCAGAGCCGGACAGAGCGGGGAGTTTGGTTCCTGTAGTTTCTTGCTCATCTACGCCCGGGATTGGGCCAACATCGCAGATAAGGATCCATGGGGATGTCCGTAGGCGCATGAACCGACCGATGAGCGCCTGGTGTGTCTTAGACAGTACGGGATAACCCTTCTGGTTCTTGATGAACGTGTTGGCATCAAATGTGAGCATATGAACAGGCTCGGAATACCAGCGAGACTGCACGGACATGGGAGGGAGGTGCTTAGGCATTGAAAGTGCTAATCATATCATCTTAGCAGCAGGTAGGAGACGCCAAATGAAGAACATGGGAGATCATCTTACCTACGACAAGCCTGGAGTGGTATTTACAAGTTCTCCGTATCATATCCCAAGCATCCCAAGTGCCAAACGGATCCACTCGCAATGGCTGCCCTGTGAGCGGTTCTCCAAGGAACTCCTGACGGGCAAGGCGGGACAGATCGGCTATTCCATCTACATCCAAGTCTGGGTTATCAACCATAGGCATCCAAATGTGAAACTGTATGTAAGGAGCGAGGTTGATAGCATCCTGTATCGCTCTCGCATAGTAGCTCACGCCTTCTGCATGGATTTCTCCATGGTGCAGTTTAGGGCCGGGAATCAAGAGGTACCCAAGGCCACAGAAAGCTGCATACGCGACCTCTCGCATGAACACCTGACGCGAGATGTCTGCAATCAGGGGATCCGGGGAGCATAGATCGATCCAACCGCTGGTGACTCCAACTATCTGCGACATCGTCTCATCCGGGGTCAAGTGGCTATCCGCGGGAGTTAAGGGAGGAATAAAGATGGGGCGCATATTATCGGTCGTCATCAAAGTCCCATTGGCAGCCGGAGTCAAAGGGGCATTTGGTTTGGAACCTAACAGGGTGAGGATGCGAGAATGGAAGGCCTCCGTAGTGATTGGTGCCGTAAGCATGTCATACTGAGTGATCCGAGTTAGCACATGAGCCGGAATTTGCACGAAGATATGCGTACATTGCTTTCATGGGCTGCCTGTACAATTGCAGCCGTGATTGGGTTCTTGCGGTTGGTTTCATGCTGTCCGATGCAAAAGCTAGGAGCCATGTCTTCTGGATTGAAAGAGTCCATGTTCGACAACGGCGGATGTTCTAAGACGAGAAAAGGGCACTGGGACCTGGTGACGGGGCGATATGACAAAAGTTAAATGCAACTAAACAGCAGACACATAGACTGAGATCATGAGGAAGAGAATCGTTAATCGAACTGTATATAGGGAAGGAAAGGCGTTGAATATTGACAACGGTCTCTATCTAGGTAGTAGCTGGTTAGTCCCGCATCGCAGATCAATTGAGTTTCCCGGTAGTTTTCATCTCAAGGCCAGGCAGGTTCTAATATAAGAACGGCAACAAACATGGGAGAGCAAAGGAGGAGGTCCAGTCGCGTAGGGATGCTAACCGAGAGATTAAACGCCCCTTCAGTGGGAACGTCGCGCGACAATGGGCTCCTGGATAGCCCCGCGTACCTGAGCAAACGTGCATCGCGACGGACTTTCTTTCATGCCTGGATGCCTGGATGCCCCTTGCCGGCGGTAAGCGATCTCTGTGGGGTTTCCATCGGCAGAATACAGGGCGGTGAGGCGCGGAAACTGCAGTTGTGGCGAAGGGCGGCCAACCTGCCTATCCGGGCCGCCTTTTTTTTCTAAAGCCGTTCGGCGACAATCCCATCTCTCGTTTGTCGCTCCGCAGCCAACTTTTTCCCTCTTATCCCTCCCACAATTCCTTTCCTGGCTTCGCTCTCTGCTAGCCGTCATGGTTGATCGACGATCGGATTCTGAGAACGGCTCGCGTGCTAAACGTCAAAAGATGGACAAGTCTGAAACCGATCCCAAGGACAACCCGTACCTGGCTCACATGTATGCGGACAACGGCAACTCCAACACATGGACCGATGGCACCACAGATCTTCACCCCGCCTTTGGGAAGATGAAGAGGCACCAGACCACCGCTGCGCTGGCTAAGAAGGTGGAAGATGGCGATATCAACCCGTTCAACGGTCAACCCTTCTCCAGCAAATATGTTTCTATCCTGCAGACTCGTCGCGATCTGCCCGTACATGCTCAGAGGTGAGTTTTCAACATCCGTGCAGATGGTTTGATACATCGCAAATGGGTTCTAACCATGTTTTTTTCTATAGAGATGAATTCTTGGAGCTTTACCAAAAGTCGCAGATTCTGGTCTTTGTCGGTGAAACTGGTTCCGGAAAGACCACGCAGATTCCCCAATTCGTCCTGTTCGATGACATGCCGCAAACTCAGCGCAAGATGGTTGCTTGTACCCAGCCTCGTCGTGTCGCCGCCATGTCAGTCGCTCAACGTGTCGCCGCTGAGCTGGATGTCAAGCTTGGAGAGGAAGTCGGTTACAGCATCCGTTTCGAGGATATGACCAGTTCCAAGACTGTGCTCAAGTACATGACGGACGGTATGCTTCTGAGAGAAGCCATGAACGACCACAACCTCAACCGCTACAGTACCATCATTCTGGACGAGGCCCACGAGAGAACAATGGCTACTGATGTCCTCATGGGTCTTCTTAAGGAAGTTGTGCTGCGCCGGCCTGACCTGAAGATCATTATCATGTCTGCTACTCTGGATGCACAGAAGTTCCAGCGTTACTTCAACGATGCCCCTCTCCTTGCGGTCCCCGGTCGTACTCACCCTGTCGAGATCTTCTATACCCCTGAGCCCGAGCAGGACTACGTCGAAGCTGCCATTCGCACCGTTCTGCAGATCCACGCGACAGAAGACGAAGGTGATATCCTTCTCTTCTTGACTGGTGAAGAAGAAATTGAAGACGCCGCACGGAAGATCTCGTTAGAAGCCGATGAAATGGTAAGAGAGGCCGATGCTGGGCCTATCAAGGTCTACCCTCTCTACGGCAGTCTGCCCCCGCATATGCAGCAGCGCATTTTCGAACCGGCCCCCCCTGCCCGCCGTCCTGGAGGTCGTCCCGGCCGGAAGGTCATTGTGTCCACCAACATCGCTGAAACTTCGCTTACCATCGACGGTATCGTCTACGTCGTCGATCCTGGTTTCTCGAAGCAGAAGATCTACAACCCCCGTATCCGTGTCGAGTCTCTTCTGGTGTCTCCCATTTCCAAGGCCTCCGCACAACAGAGAGCTGGTCGTGCTGGTCGTACGCGCCCCGGAAAGTGCTTCCGTTTGTACACCGAAGGAGCCTTCAAGAAGGAACTCATTGACCAGACATACCCCGAAATTCTGCGCTCCAATCTGTCTTCTACCGTGCTGGAGTTGAAGAAGCTCGGCATTGATGATCTTGTCCACTTCGATCTGATGGATCCTCCTGCCCCGGAGACTCTGATGAGAGCTTTGGAGGAACTCAACTATCTGGCTTGCTTGGACGATGATGGAAACCTCACTCAGCTGGGTCGCTTGGCCTCTGAGTTCCCTCTTGATCCCGCCCTTGCTGTCATGCTGATCAGCTCCCCCGAATTCTACTGCTCCAACGAAATCCTTTCCATCACAGCCCTGCTTTCCGTGCCGCAAGTCTTCGTCAGACCTGCTTCTCAGCGGAAGCGTGCCGATGAGATGAAGGATCTCTTCGCCCACCCCGACGGTGACCACCTCACCCTGCTTAATGTCTACCATGCTTTCAAGAGCCCTGAAGCGCAGGAGAACTTGAAGCAATGGTGCCACGATCACTTCCTCTCTCTGAGATCGTTGCAATCCGCAGACAACGTGCGCATGCAGCTTCTACGCATCATGGAGCGTGAGGAACTCGAGATGGTGTCGACCCCCTTCGAGGACAAGAAGTATTACGAAAACATTCGCCGTGCGCTGTGCGCCGGCTTCTTCATGCAGGTCGCCAAGAAGGAGACTCAGGGCAAGAACATGTATGTCACGATTAAGGACAACCAGAACGTTCTCTTGCACCCCTCGACCGTCCTGGGCCACGAAGCAGAATGGGTTCTCTACAACGAATTCGTTCTCACTACCAAGAACTACATTCGGACTGTCACAGCCGTCAAGCCCGAATGGCTCATTGTAAGTCTTACCTTACTTTCTAAAACCAGATACCCAGACTGATACTAACACCGCGCCTACCAGGACATCGCACCCACCTACTACGACATCTCCGGCTTCCCCAAGGGCGAGATCCGCTCCTCCCTCCTTCGCGCCGCCGAGAGACTTTCCCGCAAGGAGAAGATGCGCTCTGATTCCAGCAGAAGACGATAGACTAGGTTAATTCTTTGTTGTCACGATATCTATAGATCATGTTTTTATTTTCACTTCATGCCCATGATCATCATGCAGCTCAATTAAAAAGGGTATATCCGGTTCTTCTTTTTTCCTTTTTTTCTATCTTACTCACAGTACTTATACTTTCGTCTTGTCACTTTATTATCTTCACGTCTCCGGGCTTTTTCTTACTCTGTTACGGACTTTGGTCTTCCCGGGGACTTTTGTGCAGTATTTATTTTCCACTACACAACAAATTTACCTCCGGACTTAGATATAGGTACGGATTAGAAAGCGAGATTATTTGTCCCGTGACATGTAGTGTACACATACATAACTTCACCCCAATTGTAGATGATAGTCAATAGACCTCTCAAAATGCCCACGTCTAGTACAATAAATGACGGAACAGCAGACTGATCCCCGCTAATAGTGACCTATGCATAATACTAGAGAATAAGAGCCTCGATACTCTGAACCGGATAAATACCAATTCAAGGGAATAGGAATACAACAACGCTCAATTCTAACCCCTTATTTATCATCACAAGAAAAAAAAAAAAAAAAAATAAAAATAATAAAGGAAAAGGTACAAGCTATAGTATGAATACTGTACAAAATGTCCCGGGTAGCATGAACCAACCACCTAGAGGTATAAAAACATCCAAAGCAATCCCAATGCCGGCCAGAGGTTGGCGGGCTTATCATCGACACTTTCACCGTACATGAGTGGTATAACGTAGGTATAGGATAGGATGAGATGGGTATACGGAGGGAGTATGTTCCATCTGAGTTTTGAGCTGGGGGGAGAGGGAAGAGAAAGGGGGAATAAGAGGGTGTCTGCTCTGAGGAACGCAATTATTCGTGGCCCAGAGAGTAGCGTAGAGTGCCTCAAGGGGCTGAGGTAACTGAGTCTACGACTTCATGTATCGAATACTGACTTTGTTGAAAGAAGATTCGAGTTCCGGTGCAGGAGCAATGTGTTCGTGTTTTCGACGGAGGAGGTGGTCTTGGTGGTGGGTAGAGCGAGGGGGAGAAGGCGGGGGCGACGGTATAGTAGACTCCTGCTTGCGGGTCTGGTGGAGGTCGAAGACCATCTGCTTAAGTTGTGAGATTTCGGCCTTCAGGGAGGTGATCTCTTGTTCCTGGGCTGCGGCTGTAGACTCGTTCTCCTTTTTGGCTTTTTCGACCTGTCTGCTGATTTCTTGGAGCAGGCTCTGGCGGTCCTTGTCTTCGAAGACTTGCTCGGGAACTTTAGGCGCGTTGGCCGACGCTGGGGATCCGGCGAGCATGGCGGTTAGGACTTGCTGGGAGTAGAGCTCTATCATGTCTTGCCACTTTTTGGAGGGCGATTTGCCCTCGTAGGCACTCAGACGCTCGTTCATGACGTTCACGAAGGCGTAGGCTTTCTCCCATGCGAGCTTCTCTTGCATGTCCTTTGGTGCGGCCTCCGCTGCCGATGACCATCTGTTGTGGTGGGGGTCGTGGGAAGACTTTATGTCTAGTTGCTTGCTGGCTGCTTCCCAGTTGAAGCCGCTGTTCATGGCTGAGGTGATGATGGCCTCGGACATGTCGTATTGCTCGCAGGCATCGCACATGTGTACCATCAGTACGATGAGTCGTTCAAGACGGAAAAGCTGGTGCTCTGTCGACGAGACCATGAACGCTAGTGTTCTTTTCAGGGTCTGGACTCCCTTTTCCCAGTCGGTGCGGATGGCGCAGAATCGCAGATAAGAGTTGAGGATAGCAAAGTCGTCCATATGCCCTGCCGATCTCGCAGCTAGAAGGTATGCATCGGCACGATCCGGCTGGTCGAAGCGTAGACAAGACACAATAAGTGTGGCGTAGATGACGGGGTTCGCCGAATCTACTGGTGGGACGATGATCTCTACTCCATTGACCACTTGGCGCTGGTACAGACCCAAGCCATTCATGTCTACCGGATAGCCGTGTCCGTTCAACATCTCTAGGAAGATGTCAAAACCCATGAGGTTCTTGGATTTGCGGAAGAAGGTAAGTATCGTGAGGATAAGAGAGGCGCTGAGCGGGAACTTGTGTGGAAGGATGGTCTTCAAGATCAAATCACAGAGATCGTTCTGACGGGTTTTGGTGAAGGCAAGAATCATCTTCTTTATGACTTCTGGCCGGTCCGGATCCGTGCACTGCATCAGGTTGTTGGCTAGCCGGAGGAGTAGTTCCTGCAAGGGCATCTCATTCCGCATATAGATTTCGGTATCACGCTGGACGTCCCGATCGAGCCGATTCCGCTCTTCCGTCATGTGTCGTATCGAGTGCACACGGAGGTCCTTGGCTAAATCATCAATATTAGCCTTCTCCGAGCCCTTCACTTGACGCATCCTGCGTCGAAGGCTGTTCAGTTCCGCTAGCAACTGCGGCACTCTCAATTGGGGTATTGAGAAGTCGGCACTGTAGTTCATCTGAACCCCCTGATAGCTGTGGGCAATTGCCGGCCGCAACAGAAGTCTAATGGCCAGCTGTTTAAGCGCGAGCTTCCGGATGACCTTCTGGCGAACCACATCCCCAGTAAGCCATGTGGGCGTATCATCATCCTCCAGCGAAAGGCCATAGTCCTCATTCGCGTCCTCGGCCAGCGGATCCTCGCTTTCTGCGACCAGATCACGGATTATCTGATTATCCCTCTCATTCGCAAAGGCAGTTGTTGAATGGAAAGATGCAAACGGTGCGTTCCTCCTGGGCCATTGGTATCTCATAGGTGCCGGGCGAGTCGCTGTGCTGAACTGTCTAGTCTGTAGCGTTCCATTGAGAAATCCCTGCTTCCGACGCGACATGAGAGCCTCCACCAGACGCTGTTCCTCATCCACCAGCTCAATGACCTCTTCCTTGACTGCCGCGATCTTTTCCTCCCATTCGTGACGGCGCTGGCCCTTGGCCTGGGCATCTGCCAAAGCGGCGGCGGCGAAGATGCTGGTGTATAGTGCTGTTACCGAGTTTCCGAGCCGGAGGCGTTTCTTGCTGGCAGCCGAAGTACCTCTCGAGGCCACCCCATTGGAGACGGTACTCAAGCAAGAGACGCAGCGGCAGGTGGATTGCGCCGGAGCGGCGCGGGACCAAAGACCTTGCATTCTCAAGTCATTTCTGCCGTGAACCGACTCCAATGACGAGAATCAGAGGATGGGGGAATGTGACCAATTGATTGATCACAAGGATCCGACGACCAATGACGGGGACAAAATCGAGGTCGTGGGGGGGAAGATGAAGGGGGTCGGAGAGGGGAGGAAATATCGGGGCGGAAGGTCGAGAATCTTTTGATGATGATCCAAAACCGGCTAAACGAAAGTCGGACCACCGGCAATGCAAACCAAACAAACCGGGGGGAACTTCCAGCTGTTGGAACCAAGACTAAGACTGACTGGACTGGCTTGACTTGGTCTGGAATGGAATCAGCCATCCCTTTCTTTGTTCCCGGCGATCTGTCACATTCGCGAGATCTCATTCATTCTGCAATTTTACGACTCGTCGGATCTTCGCCTGGCCGCTCGTGGCTCTATAAATAAATATATCCTCACCCGACAATGCTCGTCGTCCTCGCTACTGCTCTATTGGCCCTGAGCGGCAGCTTGGTGAGTGCCCACGGTTCTCACCCCGACCAGCCGCCCTCGTCGGATTGGGCCACCCGGCATATGCAAGGTATTTAACTACTACCATTATCTATCATGTTGATATCCGTCCCGAGAGGGAAGCAATTGATTGTGTAAACTGACCATCTGGCCCCAATTAAACAGAGGAACATCACATTGATGCCTTCGACGCTGCTTCCTTCTTCTCTCTTCACGACTATGATGAATCCGGCGCATGGACTCCCGAGGAAGTGCGCAAGACGTACGGCATGGACGATGAGACGAACGCAGGTGCCACGGAGGATCGCAAGAGCCAAGCCTTAAGAGAAGTGTTCACTCTCTTCGACCCCACGAATACTGGCTTCATCACCCGCGACAACTGGATGCGCATCATCGGCGAGGGCACTCGGCTGCCCGATCTGGGGTTCGGTCCGGGCCACCACGGCGACATTGAGTATGAGTACGAGATCCACCACTTCGAGAAGTACCATGGCGAAGATGCGACAGAGGAGGAGCTCACCCACCCGGAAGACATTGAGCACTTCCGGCGGCACGACGAGGAAGATCTGGCGATGGAGCGCCTCGAGCAGCTCGAGAGCATGCAGATCGTCGAGGCCAACATACCGCAGAAGTTCCTCAAGCAAGCTTAGATGAGTGTACATTAGATTCCTTATGTTGTTGTTATAGTTGATGATGATATTGTACATAATAAATGTGTGATGAGACGAACATCCTCATGGGTGGTCATACCTTGGAAATAATGCCAACCCAATCCAAACGAAGCGTTATAACTCCAGCGCCGGCACCTTAACATCAAACACGCAATGCATCACCCCCGGAGCATACGTCTTGACCTGTTCAACATGTCGACACTCCGCCACGACCTCATCTCCAACCTCCAAAACCTCTCCCCTCAACCTCCCAATCTCACTCGTGACCCGATCCCTCATCTCCTCAATGCGCCTCACATCCACATTCTCATGCACATGCAACCAACCCCCCAATTTTCCCACCATCCGACACGCATCCCCCCAAGCAGCCTCCGACGACGGCAACAGCCCCAAATTAACATGTCTAACAGGCGCCCACCGGCCCCTCACCTCCATCACATCCTTAATCTGCGCCAAAACCCGCGCCGCAAACCGATTATCCCCATGAAACACCACCACTCTATCCCCATCCTCCCCATCCCTCAACCCATCCACCAACTCCTCCACCCCCATCCCACCCTCCAACATCCCATCCTCACCACCAACCCTAACAACCCTACACCCCCACCCATTAGCCACACACCCCCTCCGTAACCCCTCAACAGACCACCCATTAATCTCCCATCCCCAAACCCTCCTCACCCCGCGCCGGAGGTACGAAAACACAAAATACCCTATCCCCGCATACATATCCACCACACTCATCCCTTGTCCTGCCCCCTCAATATCCTCCCTCGCTAACCCCTCCATCCCCGATCCCAATATCCGCGCCTTCTCCGTAACATTCCCCCTCGAGAACATCGTATACATAGGCGCCCAGATCTGCTCAATGCCATGGTTCTGCACCGTGCTTACCCAGAACGCGCGTCCCAGGTCCTCTGGTGTTGGCGAGTCGGGGTTTAGGATTGTGCTGGGCGCGGGCCCAAAGTCTCCGTGGAGGGGGAGTAGGCCGCCGGGACTGCGCATGCGGTTCTCGGTGCCTTGCGCGTCGGTTAAGGCGATGGGGGCGTTCATGGCGATGTGGGTGAGGTTGTAGCGGGAGAAGGCGGCGAGGATGCATTCGTACAGAGTCGTCTTTTGGGTTGGCGTTAGGGTGCTGTAGAGGGTGTGCCAGGCGGGTGGGGTGGTGAGGGCGTTGACGGGGAGGAGGAGGAGGGGGGCGTAGATTGTGAAGCGTTTCGGGAGGGAGGAGGTGGGGAGGGTGGTGCCATTGTTGTTGTGGTGGTGGTGGGTTAGGTAGGTTGTGATGCCTTTTTGGAGGGGGTTGAGGAGCGTCGGTTTGGGTTTGCGGGGGTGGTTGTGGTGCTGGTTGTTATGGTTTTTTGTGGTTGTGTTGGTGATGGCATTGTCGGTGGTGAGGGGGAGGGGTGATGTGGTGGTTGTGGTTGTTGTGTCGGTAGTAGAGTCGGGGTTGTCCGGGGGTGGTAGCATGGCGAGGGAGGTATGTAGGTGAGTGCCAATTGCTGGTTGAGACGTGTGAAAGCTGTAGATGTAGATGTAGGAAGATATTGTACCTTGGTGGTTACTGATAGTGTAATGATCTGACGGGCGATGATGAAAATTACATGATCTGCGGGGAGTGGGGAATGTATTGTGGTTCGCCGGAAGTGGTGGGTTTGAAGTTGTGACAGTCCAGGCTGATACTAGTATGAAGTGCAAAGACCGAAATGGCGGGAAATCACAACATAATTCAAATACAATATTAGATGTTAATCTGATTGGGTCACAGTCTCAAGTTGGTTATTCTCATGGAGGCCTCTATCAAGGTCGAACGGTTGATTAGTTCCAATTCCGAAATTCCGCTGGAGCAGACATCATCTTACTATATATAGATGTTTTGCATGAAGTTCTATTTGCATTCTTGATGCCAATGTCAACCGCCTGCTGAAAGACTAAGCGAATTAAGCAGCTCAGACCGCGCATAACAAATGAGCATACTTGGACAACTTACATGTCGATCTGCCTTATATGCATCACCCGGGTGCGCAGGATGTTGGGGCACATACTACACAGAAAGGGAATGTTTCCCAAGGAGAGGTAAAGTGTCAATTGCCTATACCATTTCAATATGTGTCATTCATTTGTGATTGATATCTCGTGCTACATAAATCTGACCGTAGAGATCCGTCACGGTGAGAAAAACTTCCCATGCATTCCATGCGGCTTTGGAGACCTCGGGCTGCAGCCGCTTCAATGCCAGTTCCAGGCATTCGCGCTCATACTGGGCAATCTCCAGCAACAACAAGCGCTTGTCCGTACATGTATTTGCGTGTCTTTCCTTCTCCTCATCCTCCTTCCCAACCATCAGAAAGTCAATGCTATTGAGGTTATGCTCCTCACGGTCTCGAGCCATGGAGCCATAATCATTATACTGACGGCACATGGTGGCCAGATGACGGCAGACATCCTGGGAGAGGTACTGGGCAAGGGGACCCGTGAAGCAATCCTTGCCTGTATCAGAAGCGACGAGACAGCGGAAGTACTCGAAGGAGTAGGGGCAGCTGGTGTGGTCCGCTGATGTTGTGCGAACCCACTCATGATATGTCTGGGACATTGCTGTTCTCCTAGTCGCCTGCGGACCGCTATCCTCCCCCTGCTTGACATGTGCGAGGAGAAATGTGCAGAGCTCCTGCCGGACCCGACGACCCAGTGCTGGTGGCACCGACGAGACGGCAGGGCTTTGAAGCACGCACTGGACGAACCGGGTGAGCGTACGCTTGACTTCAGCTAGGAAAGTGACTATATTATCCTGATCCCCATCCATGGTGACCCTCTTATGGCCATTGGACTGTAGGGCAATTGAAGAAGTGCCATAACCGGTCAAACTTTTTACTTGCCGGCGCTTGTGACGAGGGTGACAGTTTGGTCTCTGCGGCGGTGGCGGCGACACTTGTTCCCTCTTGCGTCCCTTCACATGATCTTTTTCTTCCTCTATTTTCTCGGTGAAAAGCTCCCTGATCACGGACCTGAGCGCTGTCCAATCGCCTTGGAGGCGCGATGCCTCCGTGGTTTCCTCAAACCACTTGTCCACCTGGAAATTGAGCAGAGAAAGAACCATCATTTCTATCATTCTGGCGGTGGAGAGACCAAACTTTCCAGCTGAACTATTGGAGGTTGTCCACGTCAGAGGAATATATTCCAGGTATTTGGCAGTTTGATTCACAGTGGGGAAGGGGAAGATGGCCAGCTCGAGTGCCGTCCGCCGCAACGCTGGGAAGAGCAGATCCCCTTCGACAATAGAAGCTCGCAATCTCCATGTCGGCTCGCCTTCGAAAATGGGTAATCGAGCAAAGAATTGGCAGAATCGGTCGATTCTTTCCCGTGGGACTTGGCATAGGCCTGTGGTCGGCTTGCCCCAACGGGTCGAATCTGTTACCGTCCGCTGCAGTGCGGCTAAACAATAGGTCTCTGACAGAATGCTGGAGCCATAGTTCACCTTTTCGACCCAAATTAGCTCAGGACTGTCCCAGCGATCATTGTGGGCGCGTAGGTACTCGGTGGCTCGGTCAATGCACTCGTAGACAACTTGGATCCCTATCGCTGTTCGGACCCACGGCAAGCTGGCCAGAGATTTGAGAGTCAAGAGCCCGTAGGCGGTGATCTCTGATGATTGCTTCCATGAACCAGACTCATCTGACTGCGCACTCAGCGTTCGCATGAGGATCTGCAGGGTCACCCGTGGAACATGCTCGGCCAGGTAGTCTGCATCCATATCTCCTAGAGCGCCGTCATGCCACCGCTCTATCAGACTTGACAAAGCATCAGCCATAAGCATCATGGTGTATTGGGACTCAGTATTCTAATCATATTAGCTTAGATTGGCGTCCACGATTCGCAAAGGCAAGGCATCGGCCCTGAAGAGAAAGCTTACCCATTTATCGCTCCATTCGCCATTATCCCAAGCACTGCAAAGAAACCGCAGGGCCTTGGAAATCTGCGCTACGTGCTTTGAAGGCACCTGGCATGCGAGCAGCGCAATCATCACATTGCAGTTAACACTGAAAGACTCATTGGTCTCAAGACTGTACGTCTTGAAGTGGGTGGGACATTCAAACGCCTGAAGCAGGGGTGTACAATCAATGGGTCGGCCCAGAAGATCGAGAGAATATATGCTCTTCGCCGTGTCATCTGCATCGGCAAGCATTCCGGGAGCTGTATCTCTCGTCCCGGTTACACGTCAGTATAGGTCGTAAATCTCATTGACTGAGATGGAGCGAGATGGAGCAAGAGAAAGAAAAAGTTATAATAAACAGGAATTCCTACCAAAGCCGGTGACGCCATTTTTTTCCGCGAGACGAGTCTCAAGGTAATTTGCCAGACTAGAAACATTCTGGAAACCCAAGACATCGGGTTCAAATCCCGAGCTCAGCAGGGTGGATAGAACCTAGGAAGACGAGGTACATGGTTAAAATTATTCAACTGGGCCTGGGTATGGTAAACTAGGTTCCACTTACCCACGAAATCTCAAAGACACTAATGGGAAAGGCAGAAGGCACACGTCCATTGTTACGCGCCACGACATGGCGGAGATAGTTCTCTGCTTCTTCATCCCAGTTGGGGCTATGAATCAGATAGGCGGCGGTCGATGAGGGTGACCCCATCATTGAGCCATTGGTTAGACAGGGCGCCATCTTGCCCAACTCCACGCTTCCAATGAAGCCCTCGAGCGAATGCAGCAGCGTGGTTTGCGGAGGGCAGGGGAGGTCTAACGCAGGTTGAATCTTGTCCATTTTGCGCCGATGCAGCACCATGAGGGCTTCGCGGCCGGGAAAATCGAAATGCAGCCCTTCATCGTGCAACAAGCGCAGCAAACTGGGCACAAGGATCTCGAAACCCACCTGCACAGTGGAACTCACATCCCAACATTGCAGAGCATGGTCGAGATATGCCCGAGCTCGATCGATTCGGTCTTGTAGATTCGACCACGATAGAGGAGCGAAGTGATCGGGAGCGCCAGTCTGGATCGAGAAAGATGGATTCTTCTGGTATCGACAGAGTGCTAAAACTGCAGCCATGGTGTTCAGGATGCCATCTAGCTGCTGCGGCGGCGCCGGCGACATTCCCTCGTCCACACCAAACCCACCCCCGGGAGACTGGCTCTCAAGAACCACCTGAAAGCATTCAGGAAAGAACCACTTCCCCTCTTTAGCCACCATGGACACCCAGGCTGTATCATAGAGCGAGGGTGTCATGGAGCTGGAGCCCTGATAAGGTGTTTCAAGAGACTTCGCCAGACAGGCGATAATCCTTTCGGCTCGGACGGCCATGCTGGTAGAAGCGATGTCCGACATCTCAAAGGATTCACAACAATGTTCGGGAGAATTGACTTTGGATGTCAACGCTACATTTTCTGTTTTTCTTTTCTACTTCCATGTTTCTCTCTCTCCCCCTTTATTGACAGACAAGGAATGGCCCAGCCAGCAGGGGAGTTTAATTTTGCTTGTCATAGATACACGAGCCTCAGTATTGCCAACAGTCGGTTATCGGGGAGCCTTGTCTGGTCGATTCGTTGGCGTGATAGGATAAAAGCCTAAGCAGGGAACAAACAAGCGAGGATACTGCTGGTTCAACCTTGGGATCCTCCCCGTGGAATTCATTAGTCTCAGATAATCCCGGTGGGTGCTTCGGTTGGCGCGTTGACCTTATTCCCAGAAGATCCAAATAGTGTCTCGCGCGAGCGTCTGTTTGTTACTACTCAGCACCACCTAAAGCAATAATGTTAGTTTATGAAATTGCCGCTTGTCCTATCTAACAGTGGGTACTTTGTAGAACAACTAGGGTATGGTACCCGGCTAGAATGGGGGCGGGATAACTGGGATCTGTGTGATGGTTGTTATTGTACTGTATTATAACCAACAGACTGCTATCATAGATCCAATCAACTGTGACAATTGCAATGTTTGCTGGATAGTAGATACTTAGTTGGGCAAGTAAGTCTGTTTCTTTCGGTTACTCTGTACGGCTACTTATGCGGGTGCTGGGGTACATTGTAGTATGACCGATCATCCCCGCGGGCGCCACTTTACATCTTATATGGGTACCACTGCTTTAGCGCTTACTGGTTTAGCCTAGCCACTCCCCCAAGCTGGAAAGAAACAGGGGTCGGGTAGAGCGGGAGGGGCGCCTTGTGAGGAGAAAGAGAGAAAGAGAGAAAGAGACAAAGAGAGAGCAATAGAGAGTCTGTGTATGGCTAAGTCACACCGGATCCCCGTTGACAATCTTTCGGTGGATCAAACAATGCACGTATGGGCACACCTTCCCCCCTCCCCCAACAGAAACCGGAAATGAGACCTGGAAGGGGGGGCGGGTGTGAATTACGGGTGGTGAATGATCACAGTCAGGCTTCTCTTACACTTTAAAAAGGTCCAGACACCTCCAGTCGTCCCCGTGCTAGAAACGAAAGAATGAAGAGAGACAAGAAAACAAAGTGAAGGGTTTTCATCATTTCTTTGCCTCTAGCACCATCTCAATATCAACCAGTAACAACACTCCTATTCCCCGTCCTCACCTCTACACGGAACAATCATGGCGACCGCTGTCTTGAACCAGCTCAGATCTATCTTTACCGATGATTCTACCGATAAAGTGGTGATCAATGAATCTGCTGACAAGTACGAAGCTGCTGTGACCTACCCCTGGTCACAGACCTGCTGGACTCCTGCGGCCGCATATGTCTACCTGGGTAATGTTCAGGAGCTAACTAAGGCTCTGGCTATCGTTCAAGAAACTGGTACTAAGTTTGCTGTCCGCACTACCGGCCATAACCCAAATCCAGGATTCAGCAGTGCGGGTGAAGCCGCTGTCGTGCTAGATATCAGGCAGTTTAGGTCTAAAGAACTACTTTCTGATCATGGAACTGCACGCTTCGGGTCGGGAAATACCTGGGGTGAGGTATATGCTTGGCTGGAGGAGCGAGGGCTGTCAGCCATTGGGGGGAGGGACTCTCAGGTAGGACTGGGAGGCTTTCTCTTAGGAGGTATGTGTGCTTGCGTGCTTCCTTGTCTATCCCTCTCTCTCTCTCTCTCTCTCTCTATCCTTGGATCAAGTCACTGACTGCTTCGCAATAGGAGGTTTGGGGGCTTTGCCCAATCTTTACGGACTCGGCGCTGATGGAGTGAAGAACTTCGAGGTACGTTCAAGATTAAGTTTACTCTTTCTCCTTCCTCATCCTTTCTCTCTTCCTTTTTTACTTCTCATTTTGATCTGGTAGGGTGTGGGGCATGGCAGGATCAGGGTTTATAGTTAACAAGTTCTCCAGGTCTTACTCGCAGATGGCAACCTCATTAATGCTAATCAAAATGAAAACTCCGAACTCTACCGCGCTTTGAAGGGTGGCGGCTCTAACTTTGGTATGTCCACTGGCATAGTTGATTTCAAAACATAGTTTGGCTAATTTCATTATCACAACAGGTATCGTCACACGGTTTGATCTCGAAACTCATCCGTTGATAAATGTCCAATATACCATCAACCTCTACAATCCTGAGGATCATGTGGCAATCAACAAGGCTACTTTCGAAGTTCAACAGACTATGGAGGAAGATCCTAAGATTGGGCTGTTCACCAATTTCAACAATGGCTTTGTTGCAGTAGGCCTACTCTATGGAGACCATCCAGCTGAGTCCGAGGCCCAGAAAACCTTTAGGCCGTTCCACGACCTCAAAAGCCTGGTGACAACGGTCCTGCCCTCTACAAACGGCACCCTTCTGTCTCTAGCTCAAGCTATGGGCCATGCCCAGACCCCTCTCAAGTAAGTATTGGTTGTAACCAGAATTCACTCTTATGGTTACTAATATGGATACAGACGATCCATTTGTACAGTTACCACCCGGAACTCACCTGAACTATACGAAGAAGTGTATAAGACCTGGGTTGAGGTCCGTAAGGCCCTTCCAGCTGATACCGTCCTACATTATACCATTCAGCCAATTGGTACAGCTGCTGTCCAAGCTGGTAAAGACCGTGGTGAGAATATCATGGGTCATGAGAGTATTCCACAATCCTGTACGTTTTACTTCCTTTCTTGGTATATTGGATATTGAGGTTAATGTAACTTTACTCACTTCTGATAGGGTGGGTTTTCACCTGTGAATGGCCTAAAGACGGTGATGATGCTGCTGCACAAGGTGCTGTGAACGCCATGTCTGAAAAGGTGCAGTGTCTGGCCAAGGAAAGAGGACTCCTTCTGGATTACAAGTGTATGACCTTTGCTACCGCTTCGCAAAAGGTTTTGGGCAGCTATGGGGCTGAGAATATCAAGCGAATGCATGATGTGGCGGCCAAGTATGACCCTGAAGGCGTTTTTCAGAAGCTACAGAATGACGGCTTTCTTCTACGCAACAATGTCTAGATGCTTATTTCGGGGAGCTGCACAGAGGTGGAGCTCTGATATAGTTCAATACCATTCATACGAGGTTTCTCCTCTCTTCGAGCGTTCTAATCTCAAGAACTGTAGTATGTGTAGAGCGGCACTAGCCGATTCAATTCGTTAGACGTAGCAAGGTACTAGAATCAGTCATGACCAAGCTTTGTACTGTACAGAGAAATAATGATCAGGATGATGTCGTCTCGAAAAGGGCTGGTGCATAACCTGTTGCTGGCTGAGCAAATCCCTGGTCAATCACAATAGGAAAGCCAAGTAGCGTAACACTCAAACAAACATATTTCCTGGTACATGCGGGCGTTTAGCGACGTAAGCTGTCACACTGCTGGGGCAAGGGGGGCCCCAAAGTGCTTTCTGTTTGAGGCTGTGAGATGTTGGTGTATTGGGCCAGGCGAACCTGACACCTGCACCAGGTCGGCGGTCCCTCAAATATTTGTTGGAGATGCCAGAACCTTTCAATGTCGAAACCTTCTTATTCCTGCCTTCACCTGCCCAACTTCTGATCATTAACACGTGAAGTCAATTGTTTCAAACCTCAGACGCCAAAGTCTTCAATATGTCGACTGAAGACACCTTGTCACCAGATGCCTATGTGGCCGCCGGCACGCCTCTGATAGCCCTCTGTGCGGTCTTTGTGGCCCTGCGATGCTTGATGGATTTCAGAGTGCACAGGAGACTCCTCATTGCCGACTGTATGTTGTTTTTCTCCTGATGTGGCTTTCAAACGCAAGCGAGAACTCCAAAGCTGGATTTTGCTGACGCCGTGCCCTTAACTACCCGCGTAGATCTCTCCTGGCTCGGATTCGCCTTCGTGACAATCGCTTTTTCTATGAACGATATAATAATACAGCGTAAGTCTATGCATTTTATTGCTTTTGTTCGCCTGCAAGCCAACTTTCCACCTTCAATTCATCTACATCAAGCACCCAACACTGATGCCCGGTGAAACGAAACACAGGATTCGTGAACCCAATGGACTCCCTGAACTGGCTCAACCGCATGGCAGTGGTCATCACAGTGCTCATTGCCTTCGAGCTATGGACGACCAAGGTTCCGATCCTCCTGGTCTATGTGAGTCTCTTTGGCATCCGGAAGTGGCTGCGCTGGACCTGCTACGCCTGTATAGCCGTCTCGGGCGTCGCATACATTTGCGTCATGGCGCCCACTTTCATGCGTTGCAACCCCAGCATCACCGCGGCAACCTTGGAAGATCTAGAAGTGTGTACGACAGGCACTACACTCACTGGAGTGCTCTCGGGATTTATTGCGCTCGCTGAGGACGTGTTGATACTCAGCTTGCCCATGCCCCTCGTGCGAACGCTGCATCTGCCCCGTCAGAAGAAGCTGGCGGTCATGGCGGTGTTTTTTTCAGGGATTCTGTACGTGATTCTTGATGCCTTATCACTCGAACAGAAGAAGACAAAGAAGAAGAAGAAGTGGAGGAGGGGGATGACGAGGATCTTGAGAGACATTAATGAACTGACTCTGCTTTGCCTTTGTGCCGGTAGTGGTATTGCTGCCTCGATTGCATCCCTGTATTTTAAATGGAGCGCCTACAAGGGTACGGTATCAGATACTCTGGCTACTATGCTCTGCGCGTGAGTTCACCACTAAGTTTGAAGTCCCTTTCTCGTGCTATCTTTACTGAGTGGGAAATAAAGGGTCATTGAAGGAACCATCGCCATCATGATCGGTTGCGCCCCCTCAGTGAAACAGTTCTGGAGTACAATGGTGCATCCCCCCCTCTCCTCGTACTCCCCAACACGACACCAGCCGGCCGACTATACGTCCTCCTCGATGCCGCAACGATCCCGGGGTTTGCTGCGCTACAAGAAGATGGGCATCTCCGAGGTGGATCTGGCGCCGTTACAACCGGAAAGGATTTCGGTTGCTATGTAGCCAGAGTCCTATACCTAGTTCTGTCGTGGGGCTGATCTCTGTTCAATTCTGGGGCTAGCATCCTGGGTGAAGTAGTGTGTACGGAGTACTGCATGTCATCTGTCAGATGAGGGGGGCCATAACAGAGCCTGGAAAGTGAACCTGTTCGTTGATCTAGACCCGCTTACATGCAACAAGCCACTTTCTACATGATAGGCATCCCTACTACGTAGTAGTGATAGTCCGAGTACAACAGCGAATTATGCTCGTTCATTATATGGACCACTGTTTGCCCCTGCCCCCCCCAACCAACCAATAGCCCTATCTTGTTGGTGGGCAAGTTTCCATAATCTCAAGATCAGCGGGAGGCGGAGGGATGGGGGCCCAAGAGGACAAACGTCCAGGCCCGTCCTGATTGACCCGGCTGCCCACCCGCCCGCTCCTGTCACACGCTTCTTTCTTTTTTTTTTTTTTTTTGGCGCACAGTTTGGCGGCTGATAGTGGCATTGGAGTTACAAATCCCTCGATTGCACCCCCCGCCCACCTTGTCATGAACTCCGGTAACATTGGTCTCGATCTTGTTTGGGTAATGAGTCCAAATCAGGTTTCCCCTGCATACTAGGAGAAGAATCACATCAAATCCCTCAATCTTGTTTGCTATATCAGACCTCTAGTAGAAGCGAGGCAGAGAGCTACGCGCGGCTACTTGACTCTCTAGTAAATAATACGTTTTTCACTATTACCTTGCCTCTGCCTGTATTTTTTGTGTATAGTAAGAATCACAAATATTCGAAATATACTAGGATACTAGAATACTGCAAGAAGATTATGAATGATATAGCCAGTACTTACTAGCCTACTAGTTAACTGCTGTGTTCTCCTGAATCTCTGTATGGATACCGATAGGTAGGGATACCAGTTCAATCTTGATAATCTAGTACTAGGCAGGCAGGTAGAGAAGGCAGGTAGGAATTGAATTAAGAATTTTCTAGGTGTGCCGTACTATACAGAACAGCTAGAGTAATATATGACCACTATTTTAGCACCTGATCGCAATCTAGCCCTGAAGTAGGTGGGCCGGGGGGGGGAGAGGCACGTACTAGTAATAATGTCAATGCCAAAATCATCATGCGCTTCGCCAATGCAAGCTACCGCTAGACTTAACGTGGGGCTCATATTTCCTACGGCTGCTATGAGCTGACTGTAGGTGAAGAGAGAGAGTTCCAATTTCGAGATATTGGGAGAAATCGACATTCAGTGAGATTGTTTCTTCCCTCCTTTTACGCTTATCTTCTTTGTCTTCTTTTTATGCGCGGTTACTTAGGAACCATCATTTACAAGATGGGTAGTCTCTTCTCCTTCCATTTCCCGGGGTTCTTTCCTCTTCGCGACTATGAGGCCACTATCAACATCCCCGGAATGCGTGGAACACTTGTAGCTGCCATTCTCATCCTCCTCTTCGTCCTCTTTACTCCTTCTTTCATCCGCTCTAAGCAGATTCCCAATGCTCCAATATTTGGCTATCGTTCCATTTTCGAGCCGACTTTTCTCCTGCAGGGCCGCTTCATCCTGGGTGCTCGACATATCATTCATAATGCCTACACTACGGTACGAAAATCTGACACTATATATAATGTCTTCCATTTCTCACGACCCTGGGATCCGCAGATGAGAGGAAACCCATTCGTCCTCCGGCGTTGGGACGTGGATTTCCTGGTCCTACCAATGAGGTATCTTGAGGAGGTTCGACTGATTTCTCCCTCCAAGCTCAGTAGCAAAGGGGCTCAGACTGGGGTCAGTCTACTCGTTTTTGCTCTATTGTAGCGCGCTCCCCCTTTACCCCCTGCTCTCGAAAGGATAGAGAAAGAAGTAGAGAAGAACAATCTTGGCTTTTGCTAATGAGGGTGGACGAGGTACTATAGAATCTAGCCCCGGAGTACACCTCAATGCAATTCCTCTACCACTCCAACCTCCACCTCGACGTTCTCAAGAAGAAGCTCATTCCTGACCTGTATAATTATGTGGATAAGGCCAAGGAGGAATTGGTGTATGGGTGGGAGCGCGATCTGCCGCATACTGATGGTCAGTCATAGACCATAAACTTGTTTGACATTCTCCTCATGGGCTAATGACCACTTCCGCTTAAAATTGAATAGAATGGACTTTGGTTTCCATTGAACATCACCTGCGCATGCTCGTGGCCCGCATGACAGCCAAAGTCTTCATGGGAGCCCCGACCTGCCGCGACCCGGACTGGCTGCGCATCTCCATCGACTTCTCCGTCGACCTATTCACCACTGCCTTCACTATCAAGATGTTCCCGCCCTGGCTGTACGGAATCGTTGCGCGGCTGGTGCCCGCCCGCTATCGCACCTTCCGGCAGCTGAAGACTGGCCGCCAAATCGTGGGCGAGCTCACACAGCGGCACCGTTTGGCCCAGGAGAAGCGACTGCGCGGAGAAGCAGTGGACGAAGAAGACACTTTACTGAACTGGATGCTGGATCATGGTACTCCCAGTGAGGTCGCGGTGGATGAGATGGGCGCTCGTCAGTGCGTCCTGACTCTGGCCAGTATCCACACCACTGCCTCCAATGTTTCCAACATGCTGTATGACCTCTGCACTTATCCCGAGTGGTTCGCTGAGCTTCGGGCAGAGGTTCTGGCGATTGCTGAGGATCTGGGTGGACCCCCCGGGCAGGAAAACCCTCCGATCAGTGCTAAAGAGTGGTGTACTCGCTTGGACAAGTTGGATAGTTTCTTCGTAGAAAGCCAGAGGCATAGTCCTGTTCTTCTCCGTGAGTTCTTCACCCCCAACCTCTCCTTTCCTTCTCTTCCCATTTCCCCTTACGTTTCTCCTGAGGAAGGGGAACGGATTCCCAATAATCCCCTTTGTCTAACATTACAGCATAAAGTCAACCCTCAAAGACTAGCCTATGAAGATATCACACTAAGAGATGGCACCCTCATTCCCAAGGGTTCACGGCTCGCCTTCGCCAACTACGAGCACTCGATGGACCCGGCAGTCTACTCAGACCCACAGGCATTCGATCCCATGCGTAGCTACCGAAAACGCATGGCCCACCCGGACCAGCGTGACCGGCATAAGGCCGGCATGACCCATCCCGACAACTTGGCCTTTGGCTATGGGAACCAGGCTTGCGCTGGCCGCCAATTCGCCGTCGCCGAGATCAAGCTGATCATGGCGCGGTTGTTGTATGACTTCGAGTTCGACTTCTCCGCTGATCAGAGGGCGCGAGGTCGTCCTCAAACACTCCATGTCAATGAGAATTGTTTCACAGATCAAGGGGCTAAATTGTTGATGAGGAAGAGAAGGCCGGCGAGGATCACAAGCGAACAGCGCTCGAATATCAGCGATGCGTGACACTCGATGCAGAACCGACCTCCGTCACAAAGATACCCAGGTCTAAGACATATGGAATTACATGGCAAGAGTATTAATACAAGAAGAAGTCAGTCATCACATGATAGTATTCATGCAAGGCGGATAGGAGTAGCGCCTCGAGAAGGCTAAAACGATAGAATAAGAACAAATAGGAAGGCGTATACTGGCCCTATTAGAAGTATATGAACGCTCAAATCAAAACAGAATGCAACGGGCGCTGTAACGATCGACTTGTAGCAGCAGTAGACGTAACGAGTGGTATCATGGCGAGATTAATAGTCCATCACGGAGTATCCCAGGCGGTCATTTGTGTCGAGCACACTGCTTATCAGTCAATATCAGTTCTAACATGCCTGTAGGTAAAGCACACTCACGAGTATTGTTTAGTCAACGTCCCCTCACCACCCTTCGAGAGATCGATGTTGAATACATAGAAGTTGCCGTCGCTAGTCACCACCATCACCTGGGGAGTGTTGGCGCTCATGGCGACCACACTGCGCAACGGACCATTGTTCCCATTTGCTCCAGGCCCTTGGTTGGATTTCGGCAGTTTGATCCAGGCAAAGTCTCGGGCGGGCTCCCACATCTCGCTGACTCCCTTGGGGAGGTAGCCTCCAACCTTGGCAGCAAATGTGCTCCCAACGTTTTGTGAGGTGCGCCGGATCATGCCCATCAGAGTTCCATTGTGTTTCCTGGACGCAAGCTCGGATGCGGCCATGTCTCCACCTCTATCATCGGCGTCGGATAATTGTCCCAGTGAGCTTTGGCTAGACCTTCGATCAGCGGCCGTAAGTGGAGAGGATGGTGTAGCGTCTGGCGACTGTGATTGAAGGCTTAATTTGAAGAGGTGGATCGTTTCCGTGGAAGAGGATACACAAAGCAGAGTCGAGGTGGTGTTAAAAGACATGCTGTAGATTCTGGATGGTATCGACCCTCGTCGGAACTGGTAAAGCTTGCGCCCGTCGGGGACAGAGAATACCCGTATGATCGTTCCTTTGTCCGACGCCGTGGCTATAAGCGTTCCGTCGCTATTCAACGTGATGCACGCCAGCGGGGACCGATGCGCTTCAATGACATTGATCGCTTCCAGCTTCAGAGTATCAAAGATCAAGACCTCGCCACTTGTAGGTGTCACATGTGTCGTTCCCGGAGGAGCGTGAGCTGGAGGTTGAAACGTAGAGGGCGGCGCCTTTTGCGGAAGAGGGTATGCGAGATAGCAGTTATCCGAGGATGGGGAGAGGGCACAGAGTGCTGCCAACAGTTAGACAATCGAGCACATCCATAAAGGTAGTCGCAGCCTTACCGTTGGGGTTGGGAGAGGTCTCGATGGTATACAGGAGCTTCATCGTCTGGATATCATAGAGGTATATCTGGTCCTCCAGCACAATGACAAGCCGTTTCCGGTTCAGCTTCACGGCCAGCACGGTCGTGGGGAAAGTCAATTCGCATATCGTCGATTGGCGCTATATGTTGCAGATGTGAGAAAAAGCGTTAACCATTTGCGCCTCGTGAATCGCGCAGCAGAATACAGGGAGAGATCATGCGATTTTTGAAAAAGAAGAATCTAACATCATGCGCGAAGGATTTCCTACGAACCTTGGTATTAGTTATTTGAAGGCGACGTGGTGATAGGATCAGCGCAACCAGGGACGTCGAGAATAGCATCTCAATAATAGCTATGTTCCCTTCTTTCGTCTCATAGCTTTTTGCGAAAGGGTCCGTGGTGAAGATGCGAAACCCCTTGGAAGTCGCTGACAGGTGTCAAGACATGGTTCATGAGTGTAGGAGGGAGGAGTTTGGGGCAGGAAGAGCCTTACCCACAGCTAGATAGCTATAGTCCTGGTTAAACGTCACGAAGTTCATCGACATCGTTGCTTTGTCGATCACCGGGATCGACCACACCTCACTGCACTCTGCTTTCCTATTAGACCGATATATGACAGCACAGTATGCTGTGTGATGAATAAACCGAGAGATCCGAGATGAGCTTTGGTGATATCACGTCGTCTGGAGAAGTAACACGCTTTAGTGTCGGGTATGGAGGGGTTAGCAGATCCCTGGTTAGAGCCGGTTCCGTCACTGTTGATGGGCCTTGATTTGCATCTCTCGCTTGCGCAACTGTCACTCGAGTAACGGTTCGCCGTTTATATACTCCGAGCGCCTCCACAACCGCGAGGTGACGCCGACTTGGTTGGTTGGTAGCGGAGGTATCCGGGGGAAGAACAACAGTTCCTCTCCTTTGCCGCGGTCTGCGTCAGGCGCGGCAAGCGAAGCACCTGACGCTTGGGCCACATCTTGATCGACATTTCCGCCTTTCTTTTCGCAAATTTCCACTTTATTTCTTCCCTCTCCTAAGATTAACCCCGCACAACGTCAATTCCACCATGACGGCAAAAAAGGAAGCCGGCCCTGTCAAGGCAGCTACGAAAAAGCCGGCCATGGCTACAGCCAGCACGAAAGCTGAGAAGGAGGCCGATCTGGTTATGGGGGTAAGTCGCAATTGCATACTATGACGGAGTCCCACTATGCGCCTGGCGCAGACACAGACCACCCCCAGCGCCTACATCTCTCTCGATTGCCTGTGCTACATCTAACGGTCCTAGACCAATAACAGTAGTATCGTATCTAAACGCAGCGTCGAAATGCTCTACTATCCCAAGCCCCACTTCTTCCGGTATTTCGTCAAAAAGCCCCAGCGGCGGTCGCCGTTGATCAATCGAGGATACTGGCTTCGTATGCATGCGATGGCAGAGTCGGTGCGACAATTCATGAGAGAGCCTACGGGAAAGCCCAAGTTTGTCCTGAACTTGGGGTGTGGATTGTGAGTCGTAGCAAACCGGAAGCAACCGCTTGGTTGCAGAACCTATTGGTACCTGGATCGTATGCTAAGATGGGTTATCGTAGTGATCCCCTACCGTTCATTCTCCTCAGTGAAGATCCATCCCTGTGTAGAGATACGCAATTCGTCGATATCGATTATGAGAAGCTCATGATCAATAAGAAGACCGCCATCAAAAGGACCGATGAAATCACACAGGTTCTCCAGGATGTAGAGTTCCTATCCGACGAAAGCGCCGTGCAAATACGCAGCGCAAAATACCTAGGCATTGGATGCGATCTCAAAAATCTCAAAAAGTTGGACGATGTGCTCAGAGCCGAGGTCCTGCCCGCTGAGTGCTCAGTCCTCTTCCTAGCTGAGGTTTCCTTGACTTATATGGATGTCAAGTCTGCCAATGCGGTTGTCGAGTGGGCGTCAAAGTTGAACAACGGTACGGTGTCTATTCCGTGCAGCTCTGTGGCTGATTGCATGCAAACTAACGTCAACCCTCATAGATGCCAAGTTCTGTATTCTTGAGCAGTTCTTCCCCGACGGACCCGATCATCCTTTCGCCTCGACCATGATGAAACACTTCAAGAAGCTCGGAGCACCGCTGTACTCGATTCATGAATACCCTTCACTTAACGAGCAAGAACAGCGGTTCAGGAACGCCGGATGGCAGCAAGCCAATGCCAGAAGTCTGTGGGATCTATGGTCGGATGACGGATTTGTGACCCGTTCGCTGCGATCCTCCTTGGATGCTGTGGAACCGTTCGATGAATGGGAAGAATTCGCACTTTTTGCTTCCCATTACTTCCTTCTTGTCGCCTCTACATCACAAGGAGAAATAGATCGCAGCGCAGCAAAGCCCACGCAGGCCGAACAGGAAGCCGACGCATCCAACCAGTACGCGCTTCTTGCAAAGTACCCGGCGGGAGGTGGCCAACGCAGGTTCGGAGCGCTTGTTCCAGATGGCACAAACTCGGTCGGTTACCATGCCGGGCTGGGACGGCAGACGCGACTAGCAACGACGGATCTGTACGCGAACACAAGCGACGTCACCGGTCCTACCCTGCCTGTACCTTCCCGCGACATCCCAGCCAGGATGTGTCACACCGTAACACAGCTATCTGGTGGCGATTGTTTACTTGTTGGTGGCCGGGCTTCACCCGCTGCTGGTCTTCAGGATTGTTGGCTAAGACAGGGGACCCAGTGGCGTCCGACACATAACCTCCCAATCGAGCGGTTCAGACATAGTGCGATCAAAGTGAGCTTGAGCTCAGATTATGTCTTGGTCTACGGAGGAAAGACGAGCAATGGCACGACGCTGGACACCTGGTTGCTATGGAGCAAAGAGGACGGGTGGCAACCCGTTGAAACGGTCAATGGAAGCCCAAATGCTAGGTTCGGGGCATGCCTGGCAAGCATAGACAGTACGTCTGGATTCCTCTTCGGAGGAATTGGAGCGGATGGCACTATCGTGGAAGATTTCTGGACATGGAAGTTGCACCAGCGCAGTGACGGATCGTACTATGTGGAGTTGCACGATGGCACAGAAAAGTTGCAGAAAGCTTCACCCATCTTTGAATATCTCAGCCGCTTCGGCGCCACCCTCAGTTGCTCCTCCCGGGGGTTGCTTCTTATTGGTGGTATCATCCCTCGACAGATTGTGCCCTATGGAAAGGAAATCATGCTACTGAATACGAAAGCGATTGTCGAGTGCCTTACTGGCGACTCTGCATCGCAGTCTGGTAACATACTGTCTGCAATAGGGCTTGGGCTAAACTTTGGTGGGCCAAGACCTTTACTGGTCGGCCATGCGGCTCATGCCATCGACGCGGACGAGGTTTTGCTGCTGGGCGGTGGTGCAGTTTGTTTCTCTTTTGGGACCTTTTGGACGGAAGGCACCTGGCTTCTAAAGAACATTGACACAGCTCTTGAGAACGAGTGGGGTCGGGTCTCTGAGATTGCGCAACCGTTGAAAGCTGAGGAGCCGTCAGTGGAGCCATCCAATGTGGACCAACAAAGCACCAAGGATGTCACATCGATTCCTCGTGTTAAGGTTGAAACTGCCGCGCAATTCCAACAGATACTTGTGGAAGGGAAACCAGTAATCATCGAAGGTTCCGACCTTGGTCCGTGCACCGAGCGTTGGACAAAGGAGTATCTCGCGGATGCTGTTGGCAGGGACCGCAAGGTAGAAGCCACCGACCCTGCTTGCCCTGAGAAATCTGGCTAAGAGCCTCTCGATAGGTTGTCGTGCATGACGCTCAGTCCGACCATATGAGTTTCCAAACGAAGAATTTCTCCTACACAACCAAGGAGTTCGGCGCCTTCCTGGATGAAGTGCACGCGGGTGGTCGTCAATATCTTAGAAGTATCTCCACTGAAGAGCCAACCAAACAACCTGCCAAATTAGCCGTAGATTTTCCCAATCTCAAGGACGATTTCAGACTCCCGGAGCCTTTTGCTATGGTTGTTGAGAACGAACACAGTTCTCCACTCAGGATCTCTGGACCAGTCACCCTGTGGCTGCACTACGATGTGAGTGTGCATGTGAACAGATACCTGCAGAAGTGAGGCACTGACTATGTCCAGGTCATGGCAAATGTTTTGTGTCAGATCCGTGGCGAGAAGAGACTTATCCTCTTCCCACCTAGTGATGTTCAATACCTCCAGGTCCCTGCTGGGGCATCAAGCTCCACCCTTAACATATTTCAGAATTCAGTAGACGGTTCAATTGCTTCGGTGCCACACACGACGCCACATGAAGCAATTATGCGTCGTGGCGACATCCTGTTCATTCCCCCGTTGTGGTTACACACTGCATCTCCGACTGGCCAGGTCAGTGTGGCCGTGAATGTTTTCTTTCGCAATCTATCGAAAGGATATGCAGCTGGACGGGATGTCTACGGGAACCGTGATTTGCAAGCCTATGAGAAAGCGAGGACCGATCTTCAGAAGATGGCAAAGTCTTTTGATGGCCTCCCGCCTGACATGGCTCGTTTCTACTTGCTGAGACTTGCAAAGGAGCTCAGAGACAAGGCCGAAGCATAGATGGACGGAGTGTCCAGCCTTGACCCGAGGAAGCTGTATTGGCCGGCTGGTGTTAATCGCCAGTTGGCAGTCTATCAACCTCGCCACGAGATCGTTTGAGAGCAAGGTGGCACGACTTGTCTGACTCTCGGAGCCTGGCCCTGTATTCGGGACTGCACATTCTGTCTGACCCCTCAACGACTGACTGCCTCACAATGCAGGCAGGTTGCATGTGTGAAGATCGGGCCGCTTTCCAAGGCCAGCAAGGCGAGAGGCACGTGGTAGAGGAGTCAAGTAACGCCGAGTGAACGGGTGGTGGAGTAGGCAGAAGGAGCGAGGAGCGGTTTTGGGTGGGAAGAGGGGCTGAGTTCTGCGGAGAGATACCCGGTTTAAGCTTGGCTTCTAGGGAAAAGCCGAAGTGGGGACGAGATGTACACGCCCGTGCACTCACTGGTTTGACACTTGGTTCGGGTTGGTTACAGCCAACGCAACACGGTCGGGAGGACTAACTGTGGGTGACCGATGCCCGATCTACAGCAAGTGATACCGTAGAAGCCATATCAATGGAAGAGCAGAAGAAAATCGTGATACTGTGATCGGGTGGATTATTACTGTTTACCCACCCAGAAGGTCCAGGCGACACCATGGAAAGCCTTACTTTATCCGGTCAACGTTGGATCGGCCTCAAGATACTTAATTTCACGGCTTATAGGACCATGCTTGTCCACAGACCCCTCTCCTTGTCGCGTGCCTAATCTTAGGCATGTGGCTCTGCATAGCTGTGAGCTGCACTTTGTAGAACCAGGGTGAGTGCGCTACATGATTACAACGTATACTACATGCAGGTCCCCCACGAGACAGAAGAATGTACATGGGCAATCGAGGGGTACAGTAATAGACCAAAGAAGCAATGAGGTCCGTCGACTAGAACAAAGGGGCAGAAAAAGGCAAACAGCATTAAATTTTGGAGAAAAGTCAAAAGAAAGGACATGCATACCATGATGGTCACGCATATACCCAGGGGTACATCTGCACTAGGACAAACAGCAATTAATGGGTCGGTAATGTAGATGTCATGTCGTCCAGATGAGTCCGCACCCAGACTGTGGTTGGGTGATAAGTTGGAGATGGGGGTGGGCAGACGCATGACTTGACAAGAACCACGGGTCCCTGTCAGCAACCGTTGTCAAAGAGATCAATGGGCAAGGAGGGTACGGTACGTGCGTGGATGCCAATCATAAAGCCGGACCAGTCAGACTGAGTTTGACGGACCTGCCACTGCTGTCGACCAACGACCTCTCATTCGGCAGAGCAGGTGCCGCACCTTGCCTTGTGTCGCCGTATCTGCGGTCCCCAGCCGGAAGACCACTGCTTCAAGGCCCTATTGGGCGTTACACTAGAGGTGTTGGCGTCAAGACTCCCGGGGAGGTGTGGGGGTTGGGATTCTGAGACGACCCAAGAGTATTGAAGCAGCCCAGCCTATTGTGTAGCAGCGCACAGCATAATTCTGGGCTGTAGTAACTAGTGAGACTTGCCTGAGCGCCGGGGGTGTGTGGAAGGAGAAGGGGGAGGGTGGAATCATTGGCCGCAAACGGGGAAGTTGTATTATCTATCATCTTAACACACATCTTGGACAGGCCGGATGTGGGGACCTTCTGCCCGAAATCAAGGATGGCCGACGGTGACGACAAGGTCGGGCCAAGGTTCCTGCTATCTACCACACTAGATGATCGGGAGGGACTTGCATGAGATGGAAAGCAGATGAGAACGAGAATCTGTGTTCAGTGGGAGTGAAGTGGCAGCAAGGACCATTACAATCAATTGGGATAGATTGGAGATCGATGCATTGGATACTGCAGTAATGGATGGATGATTTGAATTTCTTTTTTTTTTTCTTTTTTTGGGGGGTGTGAGAAGGAAGATGGAAACCAGACGGGGCAGCCCCATCGCAGAGAAGCCGCGGCGCTACGGCGGGACTAAGTGGCCACTAGTGACGGAGGCCCACCGCGCGTTTCCTTAAGCCCCTCCCCACCCCCATACTGGATGGATGGTCTTGACCTGCAGTGAGTAAACTATTGGGATTCCTCTCCCTGGCTAATTAGTTAGTAGTAGTGGTAGTCTTCTTGTACTACAACCTTCCCTTTTCCCCTCCTCCTCCTCCTCCTCCTCCTCCTCTCCGTCTCCTCCTCCTTCTTTCTTCTTTTCAATTTCTAGTCTTCCTCTTCCCCTTCCACCTCTTCTACTCTTCAAGAAGTCGTCTCTCCCCCCCTTCATTCCTCCCTTACTCCCTCATCCTTCACTTCTGTTGGGTTATTACATAACTTCACCTTATCTCCTACCCTTATCTTTCGCTGACTTCATCTTCATTTACACTTTCCACTCTCCCACTCTTTTCCCCCACATCCTGATCGTTTCTGGATCGCCTTGGGGTGCTTGTGTTTCTGGTTCCCTTTATCACTGTGGGGTTGGGCGTATCTTAGCTTGCTATCTGCTGTGGGTAAACCTTCTCCTCCCAGTTCCCAATTTAATTGACTCCCCCTCTCATTTAACGATCTACGCTGCCATGTATCTTATCACCGGCTGTCTCTTCTCATGACTTGCAAATTCATACATCTCATCTATTCCTGTTTCTTGGTTCCCAGACATATTTTCACTGGAATTAGATCATCTAAAGTTTAGTGTCTTGCTGGTGTATTTTGTATGTCATCGGCTCCCCACACCCCACCGCGCCCCCCTTCCTATGCGGAAACACACAAGACGCGTTGTTGAGCCTCGATTCTGAACTACAGATGCTAATTCTATTCTAATTACAGAGAAGAATCGCTCTTCAGCGACCGAATCCGCGCGTGGTATCCTACAGGGTCTCGAAAATAAGGAATGCGTTATTGATTGGCCTCGTTTGCACTGTCAAGATATTGGATAAATTCCGTTTCAAGGGATATACTAGTACATCGCAGGCGGCACACGGAGTATAGAGGGCGGAATTGCTTCTTCTAAATCATGGCGACAGTTGTGGTGCAGCAGCAGACGCTGCGACACTCAACACCTCCCCCGACCGGCTTGACTCCCGCATTGAGTCTGAACAGAACTTCGTCTCCCATCCCAAACAAGCATATACCTGTTTGCCCCACGGGTCCCTCTCCAATTAATGCTCATGCACCATCTCCAGCTGCCAAAGACAGCTCAAACGAACAGACCTCATCGCTCTTATATCCACCTGATAAATCCCGGCGACTGACCAATTCACCTACGGTGTATACAATTGACCTCAAAACCCTGTCCGCTTCTTTGGAGCATTGGGCCGCCCAACCACTGCCAAATCCGGAATCGATGTTTCCATGGCTGCACGGGCTTCACCCAGATAATCACTTGCAACTGGGATTCTTTACGAAGGGAAAACGTTCTCTTCGTCGGACTCCGAGGTGCTGGCGGGGGATCACCATTGTCAAAGTCGGCGGTAATTTATCCTCCTGCAGGATCAAGGGTGCGGTAGCTCCAGAGGAGGTTCTGGCCCCGTCAGGAGTGGAATTCCTCGCGGTTGACCCTCGGGAAGGCTTCTCAGTGCGCAACTTCCAGATACAGACCGCAAAGTTGGCACCCTTATCTGACATTATCGTCTACGGTGAGAATAGTGCAACCCAGCAACAGATTCTGGATATTGCAAGGCGAATGGCAACGGCACAGCATAATTGGCGAATCAAGAACGACCCTGACCGTAACTTTCCTGCTTATAACACCTTTGTTCTTGATTGTGAGTAACATGGGTCCTACTTACGGGAAACTGCGAGCTAATCGATCACTAGGTCCCTTCTCTGAGGTTGAGAAGAGAGCGCCGCACTTGGTGGCTATCAATTCCAGTGGCCAGCTTACGGGACAGGTCGTGGACTTCTGTAAGTGACATATAGGATGCTCGCTGGTTGTCATTCTAACATGTTACTAGTCCAGTGGGAACGGTTGGAGATGTGTGAGATGTCCAAAGCCTCCGAAATTTCAACGAATGTCTGGCTTGGCCCTACACCCGATTACCTATTACGGCCTGGATCTTGCGGGCCTCCACCTACCGAGAACTTCGACCTCTTGATCGAGGCCAGCGAGCTCGCAAGTATTCCTGGCCCTCGCTTCCTGGCGAATCTCAATAAGCAACTCGAGGAAGGTCCACAGAAGTTGGAGTTTCCCTCATCCGGTTCGATCCTTTTGCCCTCAGGTGAAACCAGAGAGATCGATGATCTAGTGAACACGGTCCGCTGGATCTATTACCTGGCCAACCCGGATGAGCCAGACCAGAAGGCTGATGCGGATGGAGATATCCCAATGATCCCCCTCACCAAGACAGCCCGCAAAATCCTCATCCATTGTCCGGACGGCTACACTGAAAGCTCACTGCTAGCGATAGCTTATTTGATGTTTGCAGAGGGCATTTCGGCTCCGAATGCTTGGCTCAGACTGCACTGTGAGAAGAAGCGAAATTTCTTCGCCTACCCTTCTGATATTACCTTCATGAGCGGTGTACAAGCACGACTATTGCAGGAAAGCCCTGCAACTCGATCACACAAGATCAGGAGCCTTCCCGATCCTGCTTGGTTCAGATATTGCGATGGTTCCCTTCCAAGTCGCATTCTGCCGTACATGTACCTGGGCAACCTGTCCCACGCCAACAATCCGGAGATGCTTTCCGCGTTAGGCATCAAGCGCATCCTCAGCATAGGCGAAACCGTGACGTGGAATAACGACTCTGCTAAGGCGGACGAGAAGATCATTCTGCACATCACTGATGTTCAGGACAATGGGATTGATCCGTTGACACGGGCGTTCGATCGCTGTCTAGAATTCATTCGTAAGTTGATATGCTGCTGGCACCGATAGAACGAATGCTTATCAGGACTGGTCACTTAGGACAAGGAAAGCAGGATGGAATGGCCACCTTGGTGCATTGTCGCGTGGGTGTCTCACGTTCAGCGACCATCTGTATTGCCGAGGTGATGGCATCATTAGGCCTATCGTTCCCTAGGGCATAGTAGGTCCACTGGATCATATTACATGCGACTTACACTAACGTTTGCCCCAGCTGTTTTGTCCGAGCACGAAGGCTTAACGTAATCATCCAGCCTCATCTACGATTTGTGTAAGTCCCAGCTCTACACCTGCTAAGCATAATCCTGGACGCTGTTAGCTAACGGTATACTTTAGATACGAGCTTCTTAAATGGGAGGAGTTACAATTACAGAAGCGAAACAAGCCTGCAAGACGGGAACTAGAATGGGCTACCGTGGCTCGCGAGATCGCATTGATGAACAAACCGTATTCTAGACAGTGAAAGCGACTTCAATCATGCAGGAAACCTGCAGAAGTGTGACCCTGGGAGCTGTGCTCCACACGCCACATTCCGCCAGGTATCCTCTATACGGAGACAGTCCGCGTCTCCTGCAACAAAAGACAACAGATATGATGATGACCGATATGTTTGACATGAGGGCACGAACAACAGCTAAATGATCTACTTTCTTTCTTCGCAGTTCTTGATTTTGGGCGTTCGAGGGACTTAATCTAATGGCACTGAGATGTTTGATTACGCATCCAAATATATGTTATGTGTTGTGTGTATGTGTGGGATTTCTCCAAGGACGGCGTTATTGTGGCTTGGCCTAGGAATCGGCATGATGTCTATCGTTAAAGGGTCCACCTGCTTACTGCCATTGATGTTGGGTTTGATCCTGGTATATTTATGCAGCTCAGACGCGCCGTCGTCTATGTTCAATGCCATTTCGAAGTCTAATTCCTGAACACATACTTAGCTCTACTTTCACAGTACACTGTATGGCTATGAATAGTAACTCGTATCGCTGCCCTGGTAAGGTTCGTATCTGTACCACTGAACGAAGTTACTAAGTTTCAGAACTATACAGTAATAACCATGTTGTTCCGGATACAACCCTTTACCACATCCTTCAACATAAGAGCCAGATGTAGTAGTTTCGTTATTATCACACATGCATGAATACACGCACTCACAACCATGAAATAGATACCAGAACACAAATATCCAGCTAAATCAACACCGCTCAAAAACCCTATACAACCCCTTCAAATCCGCCACCTCGACCACCCCCTTCAGCAGCCGCGTCGTAGCAACCATCCGCGCCCTCAAAGCCGGGAATACCACATGTTCCAGCATCC